ATACGGCAAAGAAATGAAATCAACAATCGACATAGTAAAATTCATTGGTTTGCTGGGGGAAAATGAGATCTAAATTGTCCAGTAGTGTTTTTGTAAAATAACCTCCGGTTCTGAAATTTTGTATGTCTATGGCTCGGGTGTCATAATTGATACCTCATATTTGTTAATTTGACGTCGAAAATAAAACCAGTATCATTAAATGGGTAGAAGTTCACTATGCGCCATCTGATTTGACGCATTACCGGAAGTTCGTCCCAACTTACGCACATGGTTAACAATTTTTTCGTGATCAGGGCGTCAATGGGCTTTCAGAAAAATCATTGGTTCGGAGTGTTTGTGGGGGGGGTGGCACGGTGGACCCGTCTAGCTCCCCGACTAATAGCATTACATTTAAATAATGTACGCTCTATATAGATACGCAATGTATGCCTGAATGGTTCTAGGACATACCCCCCGGACAATCACCCCCCGGACATTACTCCCCGGACAATATTACCCCCGACGAATTACCCCCATGCCATTTACCCCCCATGCATTCACCCCCCGGACATTTACCCCGGACACGATTACCCCCCCGACATTTACCCCGGACATTTACCGCCCGGAACTATTACCCCCCGGACATATTTACCTCCACATCCGCCACAATATTACCCCCATGCCATTACCCCGCCGGAATATTTACGCCCCCGGACAATTACCTCCCCATGGCCCATTTACCCCCCCGACATTTCTGCCCCCCGGACACTTATTCCCCCCCGGAATTTACCCCCCGGACATATATCCCCCATGGCCATTTACCCCCCATGCATTCACCGCCCGCCCCGGCAATCACCCCCGACTTTACCCCCGAACAATTACCGCTCAGACAATTACCCCCCGGACATTTACCCCCCGGACAATTACCCTCCGGAATTTACCCCCCGGACAATTACCCCCCATGCAGTTACCCCCCATGCCATTCCCCCCCGACAACACCCCCGGGACGTTATTCCCCGGACAATTACCGGTCCGGACATTAAACCCCCTCAACAATTACCCCCGGACAATAGGATCGCTTTCATGTTTTATTCAAAACATTGACGTCATATGCGCACAGCAGTTTAACGTTGGCAGCAAGCAGATGCCTGATATTGTTCGATACAAGCACACGCACGCACGCACCACGTGTACGTACACCACGCACGCACCGCACGCACACTGCACACCACGTGTACGCTGCACACAACGGTACGCTGCAACCACACACGCACGGCACGCACGCATGTCCGAAGAGGTAAATGTCCGGGGGGTAATTGTCGGGGTAAATTGTCCGTGAGGGTGATCGTCCGGGGTAAATGTCCGGGGGTAATGTCCGGGGGTAATTGTCCGGGGTAATTGTCCGGGGGGTAAATGTCGCGGGGTAATTGTGTCCCGGGGGTAAATGTCCGGGGGGTAATTGTCCGGGGGCGTAAATGTCCGGGGGTGAATTGGCATGGGGGGGTAAATGGACAATGGGGGTAATTGTCCGGTTAATTGTCCAGGTGGTGATTGTCGGCGGGGGTATTTGTCCCTGATACGATCCTGAATAACAATGGGGTTTATTTATGATTTCCTCCTGTCTTGATAATGTCAAGAGTCCATAATAGACTCCTATATTTCTATAATGTTTCCTGTCATGGACTCCATAATATCAAGAGTACATAATAGAGATCTCTATTATGTACACTTCTATGATGTAACTCTTGCTAATATTCAGCTGTATGCGGATATAGATCCTGTTATAGACGTCTGGTATGTCGTTATAATGGTTATTTTGTGGCTTCTAGTTAATTAATGAAAGATCTATATATTATTAGCCGACATTGTTCTCTGGCTTTCACCCTGCGGTCTCACCAAGGACGTCGATACTCGCCAGCATTTGTGTATATGGAGATACTATCCGTGTGACCCAGAAATATGTACTAGTCTGAGTCATCATATGCGTGTGAAACTGCGCACAATAATTATTTTGCGCCCGCTTTAATTAATTCCTGCGATATCCATTATGTGTAACAGCGTGGCTGCGGCTAATCACCCTATGTTACAATATTAACTTGTTATGTCAAAAGAGGAGAATCGTTATTTTTGTCTGCGATGTGTGGGTGCGTGCATGTACTCGTCCAATGTAAGTCCGCATGTTTTCACTTTTCATGTCCGTAAAATATTCTCTAAGATCATTATATAAAATATTTCCATTATTCTTCCAGTTATTGCCAATAATTCTGCATACGAACAAACTGATTATCCAGTTTGAATTTTAAAAAAACTACATCCTAGATTTTACTACGAGTGGTTCCAAAGAAAATCTTATCTGAAGGTGAAAGGCTTTTCAATGAAACCATTTATTGCGTTAAAAGTGCGTGTGCAAACATATATTCGTATATCTCGCATCTGTAGTGCAGCGCTGTAGTGTGTATATATCTTATATATGTATATATATATTAATATAATATATATATATATTATATATATATACTATATATATGTTGCATGTACATGGCTGTAGTACAGCGCTGCAGTGTCATTAGCCTCACACGATGGCCGTCAGGCCTTGCGCCTGCTTCAGTTCCGTCTCTCGGTCTGTCCATTGGCTTCCGTGTACAATGCGTTGATTGCATTGCGTCCACTGCGTCATTGGCCGCGCTACGTCGTGATGGCTGATGAGAATGCGCGTTTGTGTCCAACGACACATGCGCGTGTAGTGTATTGATTCGCTGCCATGAGCTTAGGTGGAGAAGGTGAGGCAATAGCGTTGCGGCACGATAGCTTAGACGGCACTACTGTATCTGCTACACGCGGAATCGCCCGTAGCTAATAAAGTGCTGAGGGATGTAAATGAAAGTGCTGAACAGGAAAGAGGATGTGAGAGAGAAATGACGCTGAGTGTCTCTAATGGCAAACGTAATATGCCAATGTCGTCTGCAGCGACTTTTCTCTTTATTGTCTGCGGCTGGAATGATTCATGCCGCTACTGCCGACGGTATCAGGACAAATACCCCGACAATCACCCCCCGGACAATTACCCCCCGGACAATTACCGCATGCCATATTACCCCCCATGCCATTCACCCCCGGACAATCACCCCCCGGACAATTACCCCCGGACATTTACCCCCCCCCCCGGACATTTACCCCTTGAGCAATACCCGTCCGGACATTTACCCCTGGACTGTTACCCGCCCGGACAATTACCCCCGGACAATTGCCCCCATGCTATTCACCCCCCGGACAATTTACCCCCTGGACAACACCCCCCGGAAATACCCCCTGGACATTTACTCCCCCGGACAATTACCCCCCGTACATTTACCCCGGACAATTACTCCCCGAGACATTTACCCCCCCGGACAATTACCCTGCCGACATTACCCTGGACAATACCCCCCGGACAATCACCCCTGACATTTAATTACTTGTTGTAATTATTCATTGTTGAACAGTGCGATACAGGAAGGAGATCGAGAGGGAGGGAAGAAGGTGTGAGGAGGAGGAGGGGGAGAAGGTGGGAGAAAGAAGGGGAGAGGGGAGTAAGGAGGAGGAGGAGGTAGAGAGGGAGGAGGTAGCGGAGCGGCCAGGTGGTGGATGATGAGGGAAGAAGTAGTGGAGGCGAGGAAGAAGAGAGGAGGTGGGAGAGAGGAGAGAGAAGGGTGGAGGAGGGGAGAAGAGTGAGAGGAGGAGGGGGGAAGGTGGGGAGGAGGAGAACGGGGAGAGTGGAGAGGAGGAGAGAGAGTGGAGAACGAGGAGGAGGTGAGGAGAGGAAGAAGAAGGTGGCGAGGGAGGAGGGGGAGAAGGTGAAGGAGGAGAAGGTGAGGCGCCGGAGGAGAGGAGGAGAGGAGGTGAAGGAGGAGGAGGAGAGAAGGAGGGAGAAGGGAGGAGGTTAGCGGAAGGCCAGGTTGGTAGAGGACGAGGAGAAGGACGTAGAGGAGGGAGAGAGGCAGGAGGAGGAGAGGGGTGATGAGGGGAGAAGTGTGAGAGGAGGAGGAGGAAAGAGGGGAAAGGTGTGGGAGAGGAGAAGGGAGAAGGGGATGAGGCGGAAGAGGAAGGGGGAGGAGAAGGAGGAGGAGGAGGAGAAAAGGTGGAGGACAAGGAGGAGGTGGACGAGAAGGAGGAAGGGAAGAAGGTGGCGGAGGAGGAGGAGGGGGAAAAGGTGGAGGAGGGGGAGAAGGAGGAGGAGAGGAGGAGGAAGAGGAGGAAGGGGAGAAGGAGGGGGAGGAGGGGAGAAGGGAGGAGGTAGCAGAGGGCCAGGTGGTGGAGGAGGAGGGGAGAAGGTGGTGGAGGAGGAGGGGAGAAGGTGGTGGAGGAGGAGGGGAGAAGGTGGTGGAGGAGGAGGAGAGGAAGAGAGGAGGTGGAGGAGGAGGAGGAGGAGGAGAGGAGGAGAGGAGGTGGAGGAGGGGGAGAATGTGGGGAGAAGGTGGTGGAGGAGGAGGAGGGGGAGGAGGAGGAGAGGAGGAGAAGAGGAGGAGAGGAGGTGGAGGAGGTAGAGGAGGGCGCCTCTACCTCCTCCTCTCCTCCTCTTCTTCCTCCTCCCTCAACCACCACCTGCACCTCCTCTACCTCCTCCTCTCCCTTCCTGCTCCTCCTCCACTACCTTCTCTGTCGTCCTCTATCTCCTCCTCTAAATGTCCAGGGGTAAATGTCCGGGGCGTAAATATCCAGGGGGTAATTGTCTGAGGGTAAATGTCTGGGGGGGTAATTGTCCCGGGGGGTAATTGTCCGGGGGGTATTTGTCCTAGAACCGCTGCCGACATGTGGCAGTAGATTTATTTTATATAGTGCGGGTATGATTTATCATGCCGTAACTGTCTACAGGTGGCAGCAGTATCCCCCCTAAATGCTCGTCTCATTTAACCCATACCTGTCGACAGGTAGCAGGACTATATTTTTATGTTCTCCTTCCTTCTGATGCTGGTCTGGTTTATTTATTTACCCTCTTCCTTCTCCCCTGATGCTGGTCTAATTTGCTCTGTTACTGTCCACAGGTGGCAGCACCAGTCAGGCGTACAGGGAGGCGGTAAACAAGGCGTCGTGGGAGAGCTCACAGTCACAGCTGGTCCCCTGTCCAAACTGCAGGAGGACATTTTTCCCTGACCGACTCACGGTGCACCAACGCAGCTGCAAGCCACAGTGATTGGCCAGCAGAGGAGAAGAAGGGCGGCAATCTCGTGGCAAACGGGAGAGTGAGCGGCAGACGCGCGCGTTACAGGGTCGTCGCGATCGACTCGTGCGTCAAGGTCACCCGGGCCGCCGTTGCGCGTCGTTGCTGGGTGGGTCAAGCCGAACTGGTCCACACGCGTTTCTAGCGTGTGTACGCCCACAAGATTGTCGACTTTGAGGCACCTTGTTGCTGCACGGTGTTTTCAGAATCACGCTGCGGATTGGCTGGAGGTACCGGTCGATGTTGCTCGAGCTCATAGGTCAGATATGTGGCCTAGCGATGGGCCAGATAGGCTGGAACGAGTGCTCTTGGTTGGGATGTCACGCTGCTGCAGCTTGTCGTTCACGTTTCCACAACCCGGGGGAGGGGTGGTCAATAGATGCTTATGGCGAACGCAAGCACATATGCTAGTCACGAACAGAAATTCCCCATATATCTAATATATATCAGGAGTGTATAATAGGGAGGAGTGTGACATCAATAAACAAGGGAAATTCGTCATTTACTAGCCTAGCCTGATAAACCTACGATTTACTGAACGGCCGTAACTCATCCAACTTGAGCTCAATTATCGACCCCCCACAGTAGTCATTCCGCCATTCATCGTACCAATCGTTTCCGTCGGTAGACACCCGCAATCGAAGTTATACAGCCTAAAAACCTACGACACGATTCTCGCCATTCTGTTGGCAATATCCACCGCATAGCGCGCCTATAATTCAAACAAAAGGCGCTACTAACCACACTGTCCACCGCTTGCAGCTCTACGGCGAGGCACTGTTGCTCGCAGGGTGATAGGCCATCAAACGCCAACACCCGAGATAACCTTTGACGCCGGTACACAGCTACTAATGTATGCCTTACTGTCATAGCCGCAATGCGCAATACAGCTGCATTCCCCAATACCACGCACGCACGCCAATCGCTATCAGCTGACAGATCGGATTCAAATCTCCCTGCGAGGCCACAGTGCCTCGCCGTGAGCCGCAAGATGTGGACAGTGTGGTATGTAGCTGCCTTTTGTTGAATTAGGGCGCGCTATGGCGGGGATTATTGGCAAAGAATGGAGAAGCGGTCCCGGTAGGTTTTAGGCTGTATACTTCGGATTGCGGGTTCTATCAGAAACGATTTGGTATCGATGATTGGGCGAATTGTACTGTGTCCGGATTTGAGCTCAAGTGTGGATGAGTTACGCGTAGTAGATCGTAGGTATTA